GAGAGAGGGAGAGAGGGAGAGAGGGAGAGAGGGAGAGAGAGAGAGAGGAAAGAATGGCGGCACTATGGCTGGAGTGTACCTCTCCTCAGCGAAGAACTGTCCGTAGAGCTCCCGCGGGTAGGGCATCCGCAGGTACTGAATGGCGCCAGACCCCTGGCGCTTGGCGACGATGCGCTCCACACGGATGTCGCACTCGTCCGGCGCATAGAGACCATCTGGAGCGGAGGGCTCCTTGGGCACGCGATGGAGCTACGAGGCAATGCGGGCAATCGCCATGACATGTGTTAGCCAGAGAGCAGATCGAATGGCGGAGGGGGCCAGTGCGAGAAAGGGACATATTTCGACTGCAATGCGCGGCCGGCCGCGGGGAGGGGGACGCACCGCCTCGTAGAGCTCGGGGATCTTGATCTCCGGCTGCTCGATCGCCTGCGCAATGTTCCCAGCTAGCAGGGGGGAGAAGGGGTGACAGAGAGAAAGGGAGAGATGAATGGAGATGGGGAAAAATAGAGGTAAGTTTGGGGCCACATAGACAGCAAAGGGCTGTGTGAACATTCGACACAGGGCTCTGCGCACCAGCGATCTCGGCCGGGCCGACGCTGATCATCAGCGAGCCAGGGAAGCCCTCGAAGTGGTCCTTGAACACGCTGGTTTCGGTATTCTCAAAGAGCTTCGTGATACTGGCCCAGGGGACACGCGGGACCAGCTGCACCGTGCCACCGGCATCGCCAGCCGCCTCGATGGCGGCCATCGGGGCGTAGGCCCGGGTGGACAGCTGGGCCGCCAGGCAACTGGCCAGGCGCCGGGTTCCACCGGAAGACGAGCTGCCCGTCCAGACGTAGAGCTCCGTGCAGAGATCGATGACATAGGCAAAGTTGCTGCTGAGAAGCTGTGCAAAGGGCGTTCAGCGAAGCGGAAGGTGTCAGGAGAGGGGCCGAGGAGAGAGAGAGAGAGAGAGAGAGGGGGGGCGGGCGGGCGTAGACAAAGGGAGAGGGAGGAGGGAGAGGAGGAAATACCCAGGCAGAAGGGCGAAGAGACGGACCTTGTTCGAGGGCCGGGCCGCATCCTCGGGCTCCTCGTGAATGATGCGGATCCGGCTCTTCGGGTTGGCCGAGGAGGACACGCGGTAAATCCGAGTGCCGCCAAACTAACGGTCGACACGATTGAGTCAGTTGCATGGCGGCCAGGCGACATGACACAGAAACGTATACAGGGCAATGTGGCAAGGCCATGTGCACGCACCAGGCTCTCAACGCTTTGGGGAACTGGCGTCTTGATGGCCAGCAATTTGGACATGGTGGAGCCGAGCAGCCGGCTGAAGGGCAAAGCAGCACTCCTGGCAGGTCGCAACAAAGGACAGAACGAGGGATGGGAACGAGAGAAGGAGAGAGAGGGAGAGAGGGGGGGGGGGGGTCAGACCGTGGGAAGGGCAAAAAAAGCACACTGTCAACGGGGCAAGTTGGTGAAAGGCGCACTGCTCATCATTCACATAGACCACACGAGCGGATCCCATGCGATCGCGGACACGGATCCGGTTGGCAAGGTCGGCGGCCTTGGCCGATGTAACACGGGTGGTGGCCGTCCCGTGGAAGCAATAAATCAGGGCACCTAGATGATGATGGGGGTCGGTGGGAGGGAACCAGGCAGAGAAGGCAGCACATGGGGAGGTGAGAAAATAATGCAAACCGCCGGGTGGAGTAACATCACAGAAGGAGGCAGGGGGAGAGGCGAAGGAAGGGCCGTGGATGGGGAAACGCACCGGCATCCAGCACGTAGGAGCAGTCGCCGAAAATGAAATCCTCCTTCAGGGGAACCTGCATCGCAGGGCGATGCCGGCTCGGGGTGATCAACAGCAGCATATGGGCCTTGCCATTCTTGATCTGATCGGGGCGCGCAAAGTGACCAAGACAACCAAACAGGCGCACGCACAAGGAGGCAGGTGGACGGTGAGAAAAAAAAAAAGGGAGAGACGCAGAGAAAAGAGTTGCAGCGGCAGGGCGAGAAGGGAGGGGGGGGGGG